TAAAGTTAAATTCAGAGTCTCGTATTTGCTTGAGAATGCTGTGTGTGTGTGTGTGTGTGTGTGTGTGTGTGTGTGTGTGTGTGTGTCTCAGTGACATGGGGCTGTTGACAGATTCCAAATGAGACTATCTGATCAGAACACATTCCCACAAAATCTGCCTGTGTCTCCTGCTGGGGGCACATCTGCCCACAGGTAGATTATTCTGCCAGGAAGTCTGCATGGCTCACAGAGAAGCTTCTTGGCCCTCGGACAAATTGTTGGCCATCTTGGGGCTCCTCATTCTGGTCCAGTGACATCCACAGACCCAAAAGCCAGTGTTTTCTCCCTGGTCTTCTCTCCCTCATCACACTGCATAGACTTTTGTTCATTGAATTACAAAGGCTGACTGAGAACCTACTCTGTACCAGACACCCAGTGGGACAGGATTGCCGTGGAGACCAAAGCTGATGAGCTTCCATTCTTATGAAACTTACAGTCTGATATTGAGGGAGAGAGAAGAGAAACAGGAAATAAAGAGGTTTTCGATATTGCTAAATTTGAGAACAGAACAAAACATGATACTGGGATAGAGGATGTCATAGGGCTTCAGGCTTTCCTAGATAGACTGGGTTCTGACTTTGGAGCCTGGGGCTCAGAACACCTCAATTTCTTAAATAACGTCTTTAATCAACAATGTATATTGGGGGAATGTCTTCCTTTGATTATTCTTGATTCCATAACCTAAAACGAGAGCTATGAAAGAGCAAGACAGCCTTCAGATCCATATGTCCCCAAAAAAGACGTAGTAACAGGAGCTCCGCACAGACTCGTGTTTCTAAGGCCACAGACGGTTCCAGCAACTCGCCTAGTTGACAATTTCTGACCAGACCACACTCCCAGTCACAGTCACGCTCTGACTAATTCCTGCTCCCTAACTGTCCCCTGGGAGGGTGACGAGACTGCCACGGTGGCGCCCCCCTTGCTTTGCCAGGTAAAGGAGCCCAGCTCTGCGGCACCCACAGGCTCCCTGGTCGCCTTCCATGGGGCCTTGGCAAGTGCTGCTCAGCCGCCCCATCACTTCATTTCTTCCAGAGTTTGCTGAACGCTTGCCCCCGGGTTCCTGTTCCTGTTCCTGTTCCAACTCAAGTACAGAATTCCGGGCCAGAAGGGATCATAATTACTGTCTTATCTCATTTTCAATATAAGGTGGAAACAGTAAGACAAAGAAAGTCTACCCAAATTCTGGAGTAGCCATTTTCATAGCCAGAGCCAGAATGCAAGTTTTCTGACCCGTACTCATGTCAGACACCCACAGCAAGGTGTTTTCCGTGTACACCGGCTCTTTCTAGGAACCTGAGTCCCTGCCGCACACACAGTTCCCTAAAGACGTATTTTCTGAAGCACAGTTGTTACGTGCTGTGTGGCCCCAAGTCATCCTACTGTCTTGGCCACGGCTTGTTGGGTCATGGCGAGCAGTTGCTTTAAGAACAACCCATTACAGACTTTCCAGTGACCTAGGAGATGTCCTTGAGGCCAGGCCGCCTGGCTAGTCAGACGACCTAGAACCATGGCTTCAGCAGCTGGAGCAGAAGCTGAAACACAGAGCAAGAAGTCACGCCCAGAAGCCCACAGAAGTCTTTGCATAACTAGAAGTCATGAGATTGAGGGGACACCATAGAGAGCACACGGGAGCGGCCAGGGCCGGGGGGCAGAAGGGCACAGAAAGAAACAGCTGGTGGGCCTGGGACTAGAGTAATGGAAGCTTCTAGCTCATCAGGTATCAGTACAACCCGTCTTTCGGGAGTAAATTATATTCTGAAGGGTTCTCTAGTTCTATGAATCTGGGTATGTCGGCCTGTTTCTCTCTCTCTCTGGATATCCCACAAAACATCACCCCCCAGGGAACACCAGGAGTCTCTGTTTTCTTGTCATGTCAAATGGGCTGATGCACCAGATCTTCCTGCTTTCCTGAAAAGAAAACCAGACTTTCACTCTCTACTAAACACAATCCAAGTGTAAATAGAAGCAATTCCACTCCAGAACCACACTTGGGTAACCACGAGCTTACACCTACAATTAGTACACTTTTCTGAACAGATGTCATACTTCAACAAAAACTTAAAACTATAACACAATAAAATGACGCTGGTTTTAATGGATTAAGACGAGGGGTCACAGAAACCCCAGAAAACCGAGGAGCTGGTTCACAGGAGCTCCTCCCTTCCTCCCTCCCTCCCTCCCTCCCTCCCTTCCTTCCTTCCTTCCTTCCTTCCTTCCTCCCTTCCTTCCTTCCTTCCCTCCTTCCGACATTTCCAGCCTACTGGGAGAGTTTGCCCTGCTTGGCGACTCCTTGGAGACATTTCCAGCCTACTGGGAGAGTTTGCCCTGCTTGGCGACTCCTTGGAGAAGTAAGTTTTTTGGCCACTGCTGGTCCCTATGCCTATGCTTGCAGCTAAGTTCGGGTGTGTCCATGGGGGAACGTGACATGCCTCTGTGCATCCAGTTAAGAGAAACTGGCTTGGGGACTGAACACGCTGAGCACGAGACGGTAATCTGAGAAAATACATTCATCTGGTAAAAGCTCGGAGTGCATTTGAGGGGTTTGGCCGAGCCAGTGCTGGATGATGACTAGGCCCACAGAGAGCAGGTTCTGTAAGCAGGGAGCCAAGGGGGGCACTGGGCTGATGCAGGTAGAAAACAGGAAGGTCCGTACAGACTACTGAAGGGGTTGGTGTGAGTAGAGTCTGGGTCAAGCGGGGGTGACTGGCAGGAATCCAGGGCTTACCGATGACAGAAAGGGTCACGGCCTCACTGCGCTGGTGGCCAAAGTCATTGGTGGCTGTGCAGTGGTAGTTCCCAGAACGCTCTGCGGTCAGAGAAAGGCGGAAGGACCCTACTCTCCAGAAAGTGGTTTCTACCTTCTTTAGCAATGCATCTTCATGAAAAAACTCATACAGGATTGGGAGTGAACCTCTCTGGACTTCACAGTGAAGTGTCAGCTCAGCTCCCTCAAGAGCCCGGGCCCCAGGAGGCATGAGGGTCAGGACAGGACAGGATACAGGAACTGAGGGAGAGAAAAAAAACAGTCAACAGTTGCTTCTGCCACTTCCTGTACGTGGTCCATGAAATGCCCAGTCTCATCTCCACCGGCCCTCAGGCGGCCGCAGCCTTCCAGGCTGTTCTCACCAGCTGGCTTCTGTCCCCCACGCTGCCCATTTCAGTCTTTCCTTCCATATCCGACCCCCACCCTCCAGTCCATCCTCCTCCTCTGTCTTCCTTGCAGGCCCCTCACCCGCGTGTGCCAGAGGCAGCGAGGCTGCTCTCAGTGGAGAAGCCTTTCAGTTTGCTGCCACCAGATGGCGCCCTTCCCCTCCCCTGTGCCTGTGACCCTGGAAGAGCTGACCCTCCCCCCAACCAAGGAGGGTCCCCTCTTTTCCTGACCCTGAGCCAACCTGTCTCTGTTCCGGATGTAAATTCGCTTCTTCCAAACACGATTTAGATGGTTTACTCCTCTCCACGTTAGAAAAACAACAGGACAAAACAAACGCACCCTATCTGCACTGACTGTCCCCAGGGTCTCTCTCCCCTTTTCTGAGGACAGGATTCTGCAATAAGTGGTCTACTTTCATTGTCATCATTTCTTTCTCCCACACTCATTTGTTTTTGTCCATTAAAACCTGTTATTTATCCCCACCAACCTACTAAGGCTATTTTTTCACAGTATGATGATAAAAATAATAAATATTACAAGGATAGTATAGTGCTGTTGACTACGTGTCTGGTGTGTGTGCGTTTGTCATATATAATCTGCAAACAATGTATGCAGACACGAATTGAACGATGAAAACCACCCGCGACGCAGGTCCTACTATGGTTCCTAATTTACAGATGACAGTGAAATGGCACATCTAGCAAGAGGTGAGGCGGGGGCCAGGCCCAGGTATTATTCTGCCTCACTTTGGTTTTCTGGGGGCTTTGTGGCTAGATCAGGGGTGTGACTCAGGGCTTACCTTTCGCCATCTCTCCGCTCTGCTTTATCTGCCCCCTAGATTTTGCCTAAAGCCATCTCTTCCCTGGGTTTCTAAGGTGCATACTTTCCCCAGCCGCATCCCTCAGTGTCGAGAACCGGGGCTGGCTTGGGGGTTCTGTCCTCTCGGGCTCTCGCCCCTACTCTTGGCAGCTGCCCAGACTGGCTCTTCTACCATCCCTTCTTCGCCCTGCAGCTGGAGTGATTGTCCCAAATATTAAAACCCTTCACGGAGTCCAGGTTGCCCTTCAGAATAAAGCGTAAGCCCTTACCAGGGCTTCTAAGGCCTGGCAACCTGGCCCCGCCCCCCGCCCACACCTCGTCCCGCCCCTTCGGCCCATTTCACTGGACGCTGCAGTCAACACAACTGACCTCCTCCTCTCAGTTCCTTTTTTTCTCCTTCCCTCACCACAGCTTTTTAGCATGTGTCTCTCTCTGAACAGAGCCTCTTCCTCCCTCTTCCAGCCCCTCCCCTTTTTATCTGAACTGTTGCCACTGATCCTCAGGTCTCAGTTCACACCAGAGCGCTTCTGAGAAATTGGCTCCCAACCCCCAGCTCTGACTGGGGCTCTGTCCCATTTGCGCCCCCAGCCCCCAGGCACCTCTGTCCCTTGGAGTGCTGTGGGGCCTGACCATCCACAGCGGCTCTCAGGTCCCAGGAGCTGTGAGCACAGGGCACACTGCTCTAGCCTGGCGTCCCTTAAGTGTCAGCACCGTCTGGTGTGCTGTACACATGCCGCAATCACAACTGGGTGAACTAATGAGCCGCTGTGTAGGGTTTATACGTCTCTGATGGCATTTGGTAGTGGTGTTGCGGCTCCAACCTCCTCTGGACGTCAGCAGCACAGCTTCTCCGTCTCTTTCACTTGTCATCGCACTCCAGGGTCCCCGCTCCCTTCCTTTAGAATCTTTTGCACAGCTGCTGTGGGACGGGGTGGATTCTGGCTAGTCCCCAGCCTGGCTCTGTTGTTTACAGAAGAAAACACCGAGGCCGCTTCCGGGACCAGCCAGGACAACCAGATCACACTGTGTCCCTCGAACTGGGCCTGGGCTTTGCCCATGGACAGCACAGAACTGAGATTCAAGGCTCAACAGGAACGTTTCAACTTCCTGTCTATTCGACAACTACCGCGGTGGCCTTCCGGACATGAAGCCAAGCCAGCGGGGGTGAAGTCACCTCCACCAAAGGGGTTACCCCTTACCTGCAGCCCCCACCCCGTGCCCCCCTCACACCATTGCCTAGCCAGCTCTAGAAGTGCTCACTCAAGAGGAACTTCTTTGGAGTAACGAGGCAACTGCTATCTGTCTCTGTATCTCACATGGTTATCGAACGGGTTCATGATCAATATCTGAGAGTGAAGGGTCAAGAGACACCTCTGTGCCCCCGGGGACTGATGTGTGGCTACTGAGAACAACTTAATGAATGAAAATCAGGCATCTGGGGGTTCACAGGGCAAGTAGAGAGAAAGACAAAAGCAGTTAGCTCCTGACAGGCTGGGGGTCAGGAGACAGAAAACTGCTCTGCAGCTGGCAAGGGCACGATGGCACCTGGGCTGCACAGGACGGAAGCTCAGAAGGGGCCGACCACTGATTCCGTGAGCCAGGAAGCAGGGGAGGATTTTAGGTTGGCCCCAGGGAGAAGAAGAGGAAACTTGAAGGTGGAACACATTTCCAGACGGGCTGGTGAAAGAGGCAAGGGCTGGCTTACCCTTGACTGAGATGGTCACGGCCTCACTGCGCTGGGCCCCCAGGCCATTGTTGGCTGTGCAGTAATAGTTCCCAGAATGCCTTGCAGTCAGAGAAAAGCGGAAGGACATTGCTCTCCATGAATTGGTTTTTCTCTCTTGAAGCAATGTATCTTCACGAAAAAGCTGATACAGGATTGGGAGTGAACCTCTCTGGACTTCACAGTGAAGTGTCAGCTCAGTTCCCTCAAGAGCCTGGGCCCCAGGAGGCATGAGGGTCAGGACAGGACGGGATACAGGAACTGAGGGAGAGAAAAAAAATAGTCACCAGTTGCTTCTGCCACTTCCTGTAGGTGGTCAGTGACACGCTCAGCCTCATATCTGCTGGCCCTTAGGTGGCCGCAGTCCCCCGGGGTTTTCTCACCAGCTGGCTTCTGTTCCCCACGCTGGTCCTTTTCCTGAGCAGACCTCTGGCCCTCAGTTCTCTGCTGTCTCCCTTTTTTAGGTGACCTCACTTGCATTTTGCAGAGGAAATAAAGCTCTCAGCGAAGAAGTCCCTTATTTTGCTGCCGCCAGGCCCATATCTTTACCTGGTCCCTTCACTCTGCCTTCTTACCACGGAAGAGCTGTGCCCTCACCTGCCCATCTGGTCAGTCCCTGTTCTCTATTTCCCCCTTCACCACGTAGACCTCAGGGCTCTGCCTCTGACCTTTCTTCTTTCCAGACTTACATACTGTCCCAGGACCTGTCCTCTGTTCCTACCCTGCCCTTTGCAGTCTTCTCTGAGCTTGACAACCCCTCCCTCAGATGATATCTGAAAGACACACCTCTCACATGGATGGTGACTGTCCTGCTGGCAAAGGTGAGGTAACTGGTGCTGGCTACACAGTAATACTCGCCAGCATCACTGCTTTTCACTGTGGAGATCCTGAATTCTGCTTCCGGGGAAAATGGGATTTTTGTTGCTACATCCTGCAGCTTGGGTCTTCTGTACCAGGAGATGCTGAAGGGCCCTGAGACTCCGCGTACTGAGCAGACAAGGACCAGCTCCTGTCCTTCAAACACCGACTCTAGGGGTGGGCGAGTGTGTATTTGGGCCCTGGCAACAGCTCCTGAATGAATGAAGATGACACGGGGTTCTTGGCAGTGGGGTGCTCGTGGCTATAGAAGAGTCACAGGATGGGTGGGGCTAAGTCTGCTGAACACATGTAGGAAGTCGGCCTGGAGTGGGATTGGCCTGTTCCTTGGGAAGAGGGCGGAAGTGGTGGACAGACTGGGCCCTCCACAGCTCAGAACACCTTCCGCTCCCTAACGATCTGTGGAACTCCTGGTACAAGGGACAGAAGTGACCCTGCCCGTCTTCCCCTTGTGCCCTGCCCATCCCCTGGCACAGCATGGGCCAGTCATTCCGGGCATCCACCCAGTGCCCCCCAGCAGGGGCATCATTTTGGGGAAGTGGCAGGGGTGGCGAAGGGGCCGGGGAGACGTGGCATATGAGGTGCTCTACCTGGAGCTGTGCTCACTGCAGGGACTGGCCGAAAACCACTCACTGGCATTATGCTAAGCTTGCCCTCGAGCAAGCACTCACTTCTTGTCCTCTCTAGCCTGTCAACTAGACAGTCAGAGGAGGCGGGCCCAGGACAGTGCGGAAACCTGTGACGAGTGTTCCAGAGCCCAGCTGGGCATGGTTTTGCACAGTGAGGATGGTTTGGGGCAGAGCCTGTCAGAGCCACCCTGGGGTCTTGAAGAACAAGGGAAGCTACCTGAGCAGACAGGGAGTTGGGCTTGAAGTTGGGGTTCCACTAATTACGCTGGGGGGTTCTGTGCTAGAAATTACTAAGTTGCAAATATTGGATAACACCCTCCCCACCTTCTCTAAATTGTCCTTCCTTAAACTGGTGACCTAAGAAACACACATTACCTGTGACGAGCACAGAAGGTTAATAATACATTCTAGGCAGTTTAGAAGAAACAGTCATAGAACGAGTTCTCTTTTTCACCCAGGAAGGGTAGTGAATTTGTGGATAATGCCACCATGTCACTCCACCCTCACTGGGGAAAGCATGTACCACAGACTATGCATCCATTCCTAACACTCAAATAGGTTTCCTATGACACAGGTCAAAGTTCACCAGAGGAGGCATTTGACCACTGGGTACCGGTCATGCTGAGACGTGGGGAACAGCAATAGTGGGTACGAAGCCACCCCCAGTGCCAGGGAAGTGAGGATCATTTATTTCCCCAGCTTTTGTCCTTTGGTTTTCTTGTTCTTAAGGGCTCTGCTGCAGGCACCCCGCATTCTAAAAGCTGCCCATCTGGCCGAGCAGAGTTCATCCAGCCGTATCAGAGGGCTCGGCCACAGCCCTCAGCTTAGGCCCACAGGCCGAGCAGGCGGAAAGCGGTGTCATGGAAGGAAGGGGGACTTCAGAGGGGAAAGAAAGATATGCATTTGGTGACACTGAAAGAGAAAGTGAACCTGTCCCTCTCTTCTTGGGCTTTCTTGCCTCTAAGCTCATCTAAGATGCACACAGAGTTGGGGTTTGTCCTCTCATACAGCTCAGTTCCCACAGGTGAGGAGAGGCACTTCCCGCGGGCCAGGGGCCCACCCTGCTGGGCGGCTCCGCCAGGCTCTTTCCAGCCCCAGTCCTGGCAGAGCTCAGAGGCCCCAGACACTCACTCTGCACACGTATGTGGGTCTTCAGGCTTTTCTTCGCGACACTGACAGTCACCGTCTGAGCCTGGCAACTGTAAGACCCAGCGTCTTCACTCCACATGGCCGGGATCTGGAGTTCCGGGGAGTTGCTGCAGCCTGACCCCAGGGCCTGGCCTTCTCTGAAGAAGCAGAACCGGAGCTGGACATCTGACCTCTGCGGAGGGAGCCGGGTCTCACAGGTCAGGGTCACTGGGCTCCCCTCCTTGGGCTGGGAGGGGCTGGCTCTCAGCACAGGAGTTGGGAACAGCTCTAGAGAGAAGGGTCACAACAGTCCCCAGAGAAGTGAGGCGGGGAGGTGCTCTGGAGGAAGACTGAATTCACCCTCAACACCAGCGAGCGGACATACCCAGGCAGGAAAGGGGGGTGCCGCTTTGCCCCGCGTCCTTGAGCCCCAAGCGCTCACCACTTGCCGCGTCCTGGGCAGGAACGCGCCCGAGGTCCGACCCGGCCGGTCCAGCCCCTGCCTCCTCCCCAACCCCAGGGACCCCTATCGCGAGTAAACCATTTCGGAAACCACGCAGGCGTTACCTAGGACTTGGATTCGAACTTTGTTTGACGCAACAGAGTTATAATCTTCCCTAAGCGCTTTGCATTGGTACCAGCCGTTATGCTTCAGAGCCGCCCAGTGAATGTGGAAGTCAGAGCCGTCACGGAGGGCCTGCTGGTACCGGCTGTCCTTGTACATGACCTTGGCACTCAGGGCTGACCCCGGCTTTTCGCGGCATCGCAGAGCCACCGTGTCTCCTTCAAACACCGAAGGTGCGGCCTGCAGGATCAGGTCCTCTGCAGGAGACACAGACGCCGTGTGTTTCATCCCGTCTTTCTCCCTTCTTCTCATGATTATTCCAAGTAGGTTTGATCGGAATGGGGACTGGGGAAAAGGGCTTAAAATAATTATCATTTCCTTTTTTTCTGATTTGACCGTGAACACATAGTGCTTTGAGAAAATTCGGAAAGCAGAACTATAACCCAAAATCTCCTATCATCTCAAACCATACATTTCTTTCAGTTCTCTTTTCCTTGTGCACGTATGTGAGAGTCTATGCTGGGTTTTTGTTGTTGTTGTTTGTTTGTTTGCTTGTTTTTTTATGAAACTGGAATAGTATTTCTCTATGTGATAACTTGCTTTCCCTCAGTACGCTGTGTCAACTTTTCTATGTCATCAGTATCGTTACTGGACCTGGTTTTCAATATCCACAGTTTTCCTTCAATAGCAGAAATGTAATTTGTTTAATGAGTTTTCTTTCCTAGACCATTTCAGGTCTTTCAACTCTGGGCATGTATATCTAAGGCTGCTCCAGTAGGTAAATTCTTATGAGGGGAATTGTCAGGTCCAAGAAGGTAAGGATTTTCTTTGCGTCTTGCCCTATGCAGTTTCCTCTTTCACTAAATTAAAGGACCTTATTACCAGGAAGCTACTGCTTCATATCCCAAACAGGTGGTTTTCAGACAAAAAGGAAACCTCCCTCTCTTTCTCTCTTTCTCTCATATCTATAAATATGAACAATCCTTATTATGCTCTTTATTCCAAGTAAATTTTACTGGCTTAAAACTATACATAGATTCAGGAACCATTCACATAAGTTGCTTCTCAAATTTCCTTTCACCAAGGAGCTGGTAAAAAACACAAATTCCAGGGTCCTATTGCTATAGATTTTGATTCAGTGAATAGAGGGTAGTTTCTGGGTAACTATGTGAATTCTACAGTTTTGATTTCTTTCCCTTTTTTCTCACCTGAAGTAAACTCCAAACTCACGGGATCACTTTGGCCTGAGCCCTGGGTCTGGCATCGGTACTTGCCAGACTCCTGAACCTCATAGGTGTTCCCTGGGATCTCTCTTGATGTTTTTGTCCATTTGTACTGATGGAACCATGTCGTTTCCTGCGGTGAGTTGGACAGGAATGCATTACAAGTCAGATTCACCTTCTCTCCTACGAAGGCAGTTGTCCATGGAGGATGGAGGGAAATCATGGGTTTGGAGGCAGTTGCTGAGGAGGAAAGAGAAAAGGAGTCTGAGGTGGAGTTGCCTGCAGTCCCCACTACAGTGGCTTCTGAGGCAGACTAGAGGAGCTGGCTTTGGAGAATCCCTAAGAAACACCCCTGGGAAGGTCACCGGTCACTCAAGGCTGCATGTCAGTCCCAGCATTCACCTCTCCCAGCACAGAGGGATTGCTTAGGGCAGCGGTTCTCGACCTGTAGGTCGCGGCCCCTTTGGGGGTCGTGCGACCCTTTCCAGGGGTCGCCGGGTACTTGTATGTGGGCGTATCTGCATGTGGGCCTGGAGACGGATAGAGGAGCGGTGTCTTGGTTCCTAAGACCATCGAAAATATGTGTTTTCCGACGGTCTTAGGCGACCCCTGTGAAAGGTTGAGAACCGCTGGCTTAGGGGATGTTAACGAGCAAAATGACTTAAAGAGGGAAATGCCTGCAGGACTCCCTGCCAGATGTCAATGGAGAAAATGGCTGGTTCACCTGATCCAGAAGCGACCTTAGAGAAAGTCACCCCGGCCCTGCCACTTCACCATGTTCAAAAACTCCTAAAAACGTCCCCTAGTAGTTGTGGAAATCACATTTTACACTTTCCTAAAAGGACAAATCACAGTAAGATTTTGGCTCAGAGGAAACCTCAGCTGGCACCTTCACTAAATAGATGATACCCAGAAAAATCCCACATAGGTAGCTGTGGCAGAGCAAGGAGTGGACAAGTCATTATCCGGGCTCCAGAGGTGACCTAGACAAGGATGCAGCCCTGGGGCAGCTGATCTGGGCCAAGGAGCAAGGCTGTGGAGAGTTCTCGCTTTTCAAGGGCCCTCATATGTCCAAGACACTGTGACCCAGGGCAATGACAATAAATGCAGAACTAAGAAAATGTATGATACAGATAATGGGTCTTTCCCCCCACTTTTTCCCTGTTGTGCATCTTTTGTTTTCCATTTAGGACCTAGTTGTTGGATGTTCTTCTGTTCTCCACACGTTTCCTGGAGGGTTTTACTTCTAAAACTGTAGAGAATGTGACATTCCTGCTGGTATCTCCACAGTGTGGTGTTTTCGAAGGACTGTTTATAGCTTGCTGATTGAAGAACACCCTGCACTTTTGCTATGAAGTTGAAGATGTCTTGCATTGTTAACTAAAAGTAACTTTAATTTACATTAAAAGTCAGTGTAAGGCCCAGCCAAGGCCAGGAGCTGTTTGTGCATTTGCTGCTTCCTCCGCGGAGGGTCAGAGTATGGCTATGAAGTGACACTGGCCCTTGGGCAATGCCGGTAGATCAGATGACACTTTCGTATCCCCTCTAGCCTCAGCAAGAAGAACAAGAGATATTAGGGGTCCTCAAGCAGCAATTGCAAATGTTTCCTGTTTATTTGGGAGACATCCTTACCCAGAGACACTGAGGTAAAAAAGCAAGGAGAACTCACCAAATTGTCCACTGACAGAAGCTGCAAAAAAATAAAGAGACAGAGATGAGCACAGAGCATGAATTCTTTGGCTTTTCAAAGGTGATACCCGCTTTCCTCAATCATTTATTGTTTCTTTTATTTAAAAAAACTATTTTAAAATTTTAATAGTCATTTATCAAATGTCTATATATACTAAGCATTGTGCTTGGTCTTTTAAGATCAATAAAAAATTGTATCTGCCAGCAAGAAGTCGATTGGTGGGGGAATCGGAAACATGAAATGAAAGTAATATAATTATAACACAGGGTGTCAGTGACCTAAAAGAAATAACACTTGGGGTACCTTGAGGGCAGAAGGGCTACCTGTCACAGTGTATAGGGTATGTGTGTGTAACTGGGTGGCGAAGAGGGCGTGTGGATAATGAGAGGCACCTGAAGGAAATTATATGAGAAAAGTATGCATGAAAATGTAGGAGTCAGCCAAGCAAAGGGGCCTGTGTGTGGCAGGAGATACTGGGGAGGGTAATCAAAGCAGAAAAGGCACAGAAGTGAAGCGATTGCATTAGTGTTCAGGAGCTGAGGGGATTCGGAAAGGTAGGAAGTGGTGGGGGAAATAAAATTAGAATGGCATGCAGGGCCCAAGTCCCGGATGGTAAGTAGCTCAGACTTTATTATAAATGCAGTGTGAAGCCATGGAAAAGTTTCAAGTAGGAGAGTGACAAGGTTAGAATTTGGAACATGCATGGAGCTCTCTGGCAGTGGGCAGACTTCAGTGAGACCAGATGTGAAGTGGAGAGACTGGTTAGAAGGCAAAGAGACTTCCAGTCAAGACGGCCGAGTAGGCAAAGGCTGTGCTCGCCTCCTCCCACGACCACATCGAAATCACAACTAAATTACAGAACCACCAACCTTGAGAACCACCTGAAGACTAGCTGAACAGAACTCCTATAACTAAATGATATAAAGTAGAAGCTACATTGAGACTGGCGGGGGGAGGAGGTGTGAAAATAGGCTGGTCCCACACCCACGTGTGGTGGTTAAGAATTGGGAGGGATGGGGCCGG